AAATTTTGACAACTGATCATTTCCATTACTACAACTATACATCCTACATCATTACCCCTCCTGATATATTATTTGCCCCTCCGGAGGATATATTACTTGCTCCTCCGGATATATTACTTGCTCCTCCGGATATATTACTTGCTCTTCCGGATATATTATTTGCTCCTCCGGATATATTACTTGCCCCTCCGGATATATTACTTGCTCTTCCGGATATATTACTTGCCCCTCCAGATATATTACTTGCCCCTCCGGATATATTACTTGCTCCTCCGGATATATCACTTACTCTTCCGGATATATTACTTGCCCCTCCAGATATATTACTTGCCCCTCCAGATATATTACTTGCTCCTCCGGATATATCAAGCCTGGCTAGCTGCTATGGCCTTCGTATCTTAAAGACCAAACTCTGGCTACTGTCTATTCTATTTTGTGAAGATTTCCCTGTTAGAAAATTATTTACATTCTTCAGAATTAAACTATTAACGAAACAGAATAAATTACAGAACAATATTTTAATTATCAAACCCATTATATTACACCAAGTTAGTACAACTATACAAAATCAATACAAAATCAACCTATTCTTCGCACTTTTTTTTCATAGTTTTGATTTTAAGATGTTCTCCGGACATATTTTGATAATGCAATCCATTATATTGATTGTTTTCATTGTTTCGGGATTCTGTTGGTTGTTTACAATAATTCAGTATTCTGTTGGTTGTTTACAATAATTACAATAATTCAGTATTCTGTTGGTTGTTAACAATAATTCAGTATTCTGTTGGTTGTTTACATCGTTTTTCAATTCGTCTGATTGTTTGAATTGTTTTGGGATTCTGCTGGTTGTTTCCATTATTTCGGTATTCTATCAGTTGTTTCCATTTTTTTGAATTATGTCGGTTATTTCCATTGTTTCAGAATTCTGGTGGTTGTTTCCATTGTTTTGGGATTCTGCTTGTTGTTTACATTGTTTTTAGCATCGGCTGGTTGTTGACAATGGTTTGGGGATCCTTTTGAGTTGGCTTCAGGATTCTGCTTGTTGTTTACATTGTTTCGGGATTCGACTGGTTGTTTTCATTGTTTCGGGATTCTTCTGATTGTTTACATCGTTTCAGGATTCTTCTGATTGTTGACATTGTTTCGGGATTCTTCTGATTGTTTACATTGTTACGGGATTCTTCTGATTGTTGACATTGTTTCGGGATTCTTCTGATTGTTGACATTGTTTCGGGATTCTTAAGATTGTTTACATCGTTTCGGGATTCTTCTGATTGTTGACATTGTTTCGGGATTCTTCTGATTGTTTACATTGTTTCGGGATTCTTAAGATTGTTTACATCGTTTCGGGATTCTTCTGATAGTTGACATTGTTACGGGATTCTTCTGATTGTTGATATTGTTTCGGGATTCTTCTGATTGCTGACATTGTTTCGGGATTCTTAAGATTGTTTACATTCTTTCGGGATTCTTCTGATTGTTTACATCGTTTCGGGACTCTTAAGATTGTTTACATTGTTTCGGGATTCTTCTGATTGTTTACATCGTTTCGGGATTCTTAAGATTGTTTACATTGTTTCGGGATTCTTCTGATTGTTTACATTGTTTCGGGATTCTTAAGATTGTTTACATCGTTTCGGGATTCTTCTGATTGTTTACATCGTTTCGGGATTCTTCTGATTGTTGACATCGTTTCGGGATTCTTCTGATTGTTTACATCGTTTCGGGATTCTTCTGATTGTTTACATCGTTTCGGGATTCTTCTGATTGTTGACATTGACAGCCGCCCCCTCGCAGACCCGAAAGCAGGTTTTCGGGCAAAAATCTCATAATTAGGTTAGAAATTTTGGCAATCTCAGTTATTTGCCCCCCCCCCCCCCCCCCTCGGACGTAAACCTGGCTCCCCCACTGACAGAAAGGATCCTGCTTGCTTTACAAAGGTGACCTTCATGATTCTTTCAAGTCATCATGTCATCTGAAATAAAAAATAAAGTTAAAGACATTGTAAAGAGGTTTTCTAATTATTTCATGTGTATCGGGGACACTGATAGCATCAATTTTCATCATTTTGATTTTCAGTCAGACGTCTGTGGCTTCTTCAAAGGCCCTTATGTGATGTAGCATATATCGCGATTAGTGACGTCAACAAATACTTAGTTTTAATGGAATTGAAAGAACCACAGACTGAACGAAAATTTGAATGATGCAAATTGACATAAATTTTTGTAGAGAACCTTTTTAGAACCACTTTGATTTCGGCTTACAACAAAGTTGATGTCGCAGACCTAATCAGATCACCAGTACATCGCTAAAACAAGGGATGCTATCAAAGTTTTTAAATTTAAGGCCAGAAGAACCATGATATATTATAAGACACATTATATATGAGTAAAAAATCACTTACCTACCTGCGCCTCAAAGACGATCATCTGCTTGGCGCATCTCCGAATCTCCACCCCTAGTCCCTAACCCCAAGACAAGGCGTTGGTCTTGGTGCTGAGATTAGGGAACTCAACCGAATCGAATCTGTTTCACCCCCTCCTCAGATATGATGGTAATACTAGGTATGAGCCTGGGTAGGGGTGGTGGAGGGTCAGGCACACATCCTGGAAGAGTGAAGCTGTACTGGCAGGCTGGGGTAGAAGTGGAACGAGTAGCTCTAGTTGTGACAGACGTAGATCGTGATTTTGGCTGCATGGTATTCTTGAATGTTTTCTTTTGGGCAACCCAAATTCTTTCTCTCTCCTCAGCTCCAAACTCTCCGACTTCCCCCATAAATCTGTCCTGAGCGATCTGAATTCTTTGGACTCTTGTTCGCGTTACTCTTTCCGCTTCCTGGGCTTCAACAATTACTGGTTCATTAACCGGACTTGGTTGGTTTTGATGACCGTTGACTTGTTGAATATCAAGAGATTCAAACTCTCGAGAAATTTTGTGTGCTGTTCGTGGACCCTTAGCTGCTCGTGGCCGAGGTCGAGAAACTTTGTTATGCTCCTCCCGGGTAGTCGAAGTCTCTCTCGGAGAGCTTTCAAAATCGGTTTCCAACCCACGTAGTTCTCCGAAGTTAATTCCAGAATCTTCTTTAGCTCGAGGGGATGCATCTTTTTCAAATTCAGCAGAAATTTTGTGGGCCGTTCGTGAGCCCCTGGCTGCTCGTGGTCGAGAATCTTTAGGATGCTTCTTGGCTGACGGAGATGTCCTAATAGAGCTCTCATCCTCTGAATCAAGTCCGTAAAGTTCCCCCAGGTAAATGCTGGAATCTTCTTTTGCTGGAGTAGATGCATCTGTTTCAAATTCAGCAGAAAGTTTGTGGGCTGTTCGTGAGCCCCTGGCTGCTCGTGGTCGGGATCGAGAATCCCCAGGATGCTTCTTCTTAGCTGACAGGGTTGTCCTAATAGAGCTCTCATTATCTGAATCAAGTCCATAAAGTTCCCCCAGGTAAATGCTGGAATCTTCTTTTGCTGGAGTAGATGCATCTGTTTCAAATTCAGCAGAAATGTTGTGGGCTGTTCGTGAGCCCCTGGCTGCTCGTGGCCGAGAATCCTTAGGATGCTTCTTCTTGGCTGACAGAGTTGTCCTAATAGAGCTCTCATCCTCTGAATCAAGTCTATAAAGTTCCCCCAGGTGAATGCTGGAATCTTCTTTTGCTGGAGTAGATGCACCTGTTTCAAATTCAGCAGAAATTTTGTGGGCCGTTCGTGAGCCCCTGGCTGCTCGTGGCCGAGAATCTTTAGGATGCCTCTTGGCTGACAGTGTTGTCCGAATAGAGCTCTCATCATCTGAATCAAGTCCATAAAGTTCCCCCAGGTGAATGCTGGAATCTTCTTTTGCTGGAGTAGATGCATCTGTTTCAAATTCAGCAGAAATGTTGTGGGCTGTTCGTAAGCCCCTGGCTGCTCGTGATCGGGATCGAGAATTCTCAGGATGCTTCTTCTTGGCTGACAGAGTTGTCCCTATAGAGCTCTCATCCTCTGAATCAAGTCCATAAAGTTCCCCCAGGTAAATGCTGGAATCTTCTTTTGCTGGAGTAGATGCATCTGTTTCAAATTCAGCAGAAAGTTTGTGGGCTGTTCGTGAGCCCCTGGCTGCTCGTGGTCGGGATCGAGAATCCTTAGGATGCCTCTTGGCTGACAGAGTTGTCCTAATAGAGCTCTCATCCTCTGAATCAAGTCCATAAATTTCCCCCAGGTAAATGCTGGAATCTTCTTTTGATGGAGTAGATGCATCTGTTTCAAATTCAGCAGACAGTTTGTGGGCTGTTCTTGAGCCCCTGGCTGCTCGTGATCGGGATCGAGAATCCTCAGGAGGCTTCTTCTTGGCTGACAGAGTTGTCCTAATAGAGCTCTCATCCTCTGAATCAAGTCCATAAAGTTCCCCCAGGTAAATGCTGGAATCTTCTTTTGCTGGAGTAGATGCATCTGTTTCAAATTCAGCAGAAATTTTGTGGGCCGTTCGTGAGCCCCTGGCTGCTCGTGGCCGAGAATCTTTAGGATGCTTCTTGGATGACAGTGTTGTCTTAATAGAGCCGTCATCATCTGAATCAAGTCCATAAAGTTCTCCCAGGTGAATGCTGGAATCTTCTTTTGCTGGAGTAGATGCATCTGTTTCAAATTCAGCAGAAAGTTTGTGGGCTGTTCGTGAGCCCCTGGCTGCTCGTGATCGGGATCGAGAATCGTTAGGATGCTTCTTCTTGGCTGATAGAGTTGTCCTAATAGAGCTCTCATCCTCTGAATCAAGTCCATAAAGTTCCCCCAGGTGAATGCTGGAATCTTCTTTTGCTGGAGTAGATGCATCTGTTTCAAATTCAGCAGAAAGTTTGTGGGCTGTTCGTGAGCCCCTGGCTGCTCGTGATCGGGATCGAGAATCGTTAGGATGCTTCTTCTTGGCTGATAGAGTTGTGCTAATAGAGCTCTCATCCTCTGAATCAAGTCCATAAAGTTCCCCCAGGTAAATGCTGGAATCTTCTTTTGCTGGAGTAGATGCATCTGTTTCAAATACAGCAGACAGTTTGTAGGCTGTTCGTGAGCCCCTGGCTGCTCGTGATCGAGATCGAGAATCCTCAGGAGGCTTCTTCTTGGCTGATAGAGTTGTCCTAATAGAGCTCTCATCCTCTGAATCAAGTCCATAAAGTTCCCCCAGGTGAATGCAGGAATCTTCTTTTGCTGGAGTAGATGCATCTGTTTCAAATTCAGCAGAAAGTTTGTGGGCTGTTCGTGAGCCCCTGGCTGCTCGTGGTCGGGATCGAGAATCCCCAGGATGCTTCTTTTTGGCTGAAAGAGTTGTCCTAGGAGAAGATTTGACCTCTGCTTCGGGTCCGCTTAATTCTCCGGAGAAAATGTCAGAAGCTTCTTTTTCTTGACTGCTTGCTTCTAGTTCTATTCTTTCTTCAAATTCTGCAGAAATTGTGTGGGCCGTTCGTGCGCCTTTGGCTGCTCCGGGTCGTGATCGAACTTCACAAGATAATTCTTCGGGGAGAGAAATGAAGACCCCGTTAGCTTCATCACTTGTTAAAGCATCTTCTGCTTTCTTTAACTCTTCGGAAAACTCCGAAGAAAGCTTATGAGATGTCCTGGGACCTTTTGCTGCTCTGGGTCTTACACGCTTTCCTTCTCTTTCTGCTGTTTGAGCATTGTTAATGGAATTCTCCATGGTGATCATATCCCAACAAGAATCTCCGAGGTAAAAGCTGGATAGAGAACTACTACTACTCACTTTTTCTGAAGGATCATCTTTTCCACCAGCATCTAAATCATCTTGATTCGATGTTGCATGTGGAGCGCATTGTTCACTATCATCGACGCTATCGAGATTTATTCCCCGATCTCGGCAGGCATATACGGTTCATTCTCGGCTTCATCAACATCTGAAGATCGGTTGCAGCATTTCTTGAAACAAGAAAACTGCGGCTTAGAAGACTTGGCACCCATCTTCTTTGAGATTCCAGCGGTTACTAAGTGGCCTATTGTGTGTCGCTTTGATAAAGCCTTTTTTGGATGCGCGGACACACCCTTGCCTATTATGACGTCACGTTTTTTTACTTTTCTTATAACGTAAAGGTTTGACTGAATAAAAAATTTGTGTTGCTTTGGCGTCAAATAAGTCCATTTATTACCTAAAGCTTTGCCCCAAAAAAATAAATCTTACTTTTCCATTTTAGGCCAGAATGTATCTTATATTTGACACAATTTTGGGTTCGATTCCGGGGACATCTCTATTTAAAATTCATATTTTTGGTGACATTTTCCACCAAAACGTACTTATTGGAACGATATTCTTGCTGTATAAAATCGTTTCTTGATATAATAGAGTCTAATTTGTATTGAAACATCTTCAAATTTAAACTCCGACTTTCTCTAATAAATTTTAAACTAGGTACAAAATAAAATTTATGAAATTTAACAAGAAATTAGACTTATAGAAAGCACTTCATTTGACGCCATGTTGACTTTGGTGATTTTAGAGTCACGGTGGCTCATTGAGTTTGACGCTTGCTCCCAACTTATCTTCGGATTTTTCAACCTGGTTTCCCTTGTTAGTGATGCAGGTCGGAGGAGCTGACAAGGACGAGCTAAATAGGCTGTGTACGTTAAAAATCCCTCGATAGTGTTGGCAATCGAAAAATGGTAGGCTTATGCCGAAAAATTTCCTCATTTCACACGACAAGGCGTATGCTCGTCCTCATTATTCCCCAAAAATGTTACGTTCACATTAACAACGTTTCGATGTTTTACAGGAATGGAGAAAAGCCCGATATTTACAGTTTAAATTTTACAAGATGCCTCTCGTTTTCAACATAGCTGGTAATACTTATGTAAGTATATGAAATGTATAATTAATAATAGTTTCCTGTCTGACAGAATTATAGACATAGACAATAAAAATATCCCCAGAGCTCCACTCTTGTCCGAAATCAAAATTTGATACAAATTCTATGAAAAAATATTCCGAGCTCCCCCCTTCCCTGAAATCAAAATTTGATTCAAATTTAAAAAGATTATTCCCAGAGCTCCCCTCTTCTCTGAAATCAAAATCTGATTCAAATTCTATAAAGAAAATGCCCAGAGCTCCCCTCTTCCCTGAAATAAAAAATTTGATTCAAATTCCATAAAGATTATTCCCAGAGCTCCTTTCTTCTCAATCAATATTTGATTGGGGGGGGGGGGGGGGGGGGG